ATGGAGTGAAAAATGAAACTTTCCTTGAGAAAAAAATATCTCTTGAGTGGGAAAAAATCTCTCATGAGTGGGGAGAGATTTCTCATGGGTTTTTAACTTTTTTAAGGGCCACTTCCTTTCTTGACTTGGTTGGTTGTTTGAATAGTTCAAGCTATCTGCGCTCACATCACTTACCATACTTGGATCAACAAATATAAAAGTATTTAAACTCTAAAAAAACTAGAATCATCATGAATAACCCCTGAAATCCCTCCACAAAAAAAAAAAAAGAAACAGCGACAGGGAGAACCCTCTTACTATGATACACCTTATTTAACCATAATTCCCTTTAAATATCTCTCTTGGATTTGGGCCATGTACCCCCAATGGTCACCGACTAATGACACGCAATCTACTAACTCTCTGCCTCAATAGATTGTCAACACGTGTCTTTTTCTACTCCAGATTACAGCACCTGTTGCCAGTTGTTTTTCGCTTATAAACTAGCACTAGTCTTCTTTTATGAGCTCATTCAAGTTTCCTGCTTTCAGTGCCATTTTCCTCTCTGTGAGCTTGCTTCCTCACAGTGGAATTCTCTATACTTACTTTATCTTACGAGTTCATGTTAAGGAATATCACCTTATGATTATCCGGCAACACTCAAGGATGAATATTTCTTCCGAACATTCCAATCTCATTTGTATTATAACTAACTTGTAGCATAACTCTTTATTACACTTAAACTCTTCATACTCATAACTCTATATTATGCTTAAACTCTTTGTACCATCTATTCTATGGTGGTAAGTTCTTTAAGATGTACAAAATAGTAACTTATATGAGATTTAATAGAATTATTGAACACAATTCTTGGAAGAGATCTAAAAGAGTTTGATTATACCTCTAAGTTTCAAGAGACTAGATTGGCCTGATGATACAATTCTGGCTTAGGTCAGTTGAAGAAAAGTACTCTGTAGCCAATTGTAAACCTTTTTCTATTAAGTTTATTTGTAGAAATTAGACATAAATGCTAATAAATTTGAGATTGATGCTCAACTACATGCCCACAATTTTGCAGTCTTGATAGGCCATAAAATTACCTTTGAGTGATGTTGAATCCTTAAAAGATATGGTTGTAACTAGAATGAAATGAGGCAAGGTCGAGATATTACTTGCAACAAATGGCACAATTCACTACCAAGAAGCAAGATTTGACTCCTCTTAATCGATATGCATAATCATAAAAAAAGTCCTTACTCCGACCTACAAAAGACAGAAAAGAGACTAGAAAAGATCAGAGGTAAGGAAAGGGAAATAATTTGTTTATCAGATAAAGAACAATTTAGAAAATTTACATTCTATTTTGTAGAGGTTGTATGTCTAGATAATCAAATAATTGTATCTTTGTGGTATTAGTTTTCCTAATAATGTTTTCACTATAAAATGTATATTTTTGTAATAGTGACAAATTTAAGTAATATTTTTTCAATTTCCTGAATAAAAATTTTTAATAGAAAAAGAAGTACAATTTTGTCAGTAACTACACATAGTGACAATTATATTAATATATAAGGGGACATTTTCACAAGTCTTCGAACTAAATACTTATGAGTTTGTTGTAAGCACAAATTCGGTTCAATTGGATAAAATGAGCTGTAAAAGAACTCAAATTTAGTTTGAAGTTTGCTTAGATGGAGCTCATACTGAGTTTTAACTTTTTGACATCCAAAGAGGACAATGGTAAACAATTACCAGTTCAACAGATATGGAGAGTAAATGCACCACCGAAGATCGCTTTTTTTTGCTTGGAGAGCGTGCCAGGAATGTATTCTCACCATTGACAAGTTGATGAAAAGGGACCACATTATGGCAAACGGGTGTTATCTTTGCATGAATGCTACGGAATCGTGCAACCATCTTCTTCTTTGGTGTCCGGTCATTTATAGTTTATGGCCTATGGTTTATAATCTATTGGGTATAAATTGGGTGATTGGGGGTTCGGTGAAACATGAATTGTGGGTATGGGGTGGGATTAAAAGTAGTACTAAATTGTTAAAATTATTCTTTTGTCTATTTTTTAGGTTGTATGGAAAGAGAGGTACAATAGAGCTTTCAATAGGTGTGTGAGGGATATTGGTAGAATTAGAGATAGATGGTGATGTGAGCATAGATCATCTTAGGCCACTTAGAAGAGACATCATCATGCCAAGTGGGCCCACAACAAGGAGTTAGACAAAGATTACAACAAATTTTTCAACTCTTCATCTAAGTTTGGATTGATGAGGAAAATGAGTTTCGATATACTAAAAAAGCCCAAAGAAATAAGCTACCAAACCAATTAACCCAAGGGCATAATGGTCTTATCAACTTGTTTCAAGCATATGATGGAAATGGATGAGAAAAAAAAGTAATTGACCAAGAAAATAGGGAAGACCATATCTATCCTAATTAGGAATTTAAATTTAAATTTTAATTAATTTCTTATGTAATTGCACCTAATTAGGAATTTTAATTTTAATTTTAATTAATTTTTTATGTAATTGTACCTAATTAGGGAATTAAACATTAATTTTAATTAATTTCTTATATAATTGTAATTTTAATTAAGAGATTTTTATTATCTTT